GAGAGAGAGAGAGAGAGAGAGAAGGGGGGGGAGAGAGAGAGAGAGTGATTCATTTTTACTGAATTTCAAATAAAGTAGGCCTGATATTGTTAATGTAAGGGCATTATGTAACAAGATGAATCTCTCACACATGGTATGGTTGGCAGTGAGTGATTTTAGTTGATTCTTCAGATTTTGAATGAAACATAGAGCTATAGGTTTGCCATATGATGTCATCACCCATAGCCAACCTGGCAATAGTTCAGTACACCAATGTGGTAAAATGTGTTATATCTAGGGATATTAAAAATTGCAGTTTAGGTTTTTGTCAGCACATTGATTTTTACTTTGTGTAACAGTTCCTTTTATGATGTTCTTTATTAGGAAAGAAGTTACAATATGTACTAGGCTATAAAATGTTGCTTCAGACCTGTTTCATGCAAATGCTCTTTCTGGAGGTGGAGTTCCATTCATGATCCAAAATCCCTCGAGTCGTGAGGTTACAGCTTCATCTAATGACATCATACCTTCTTGATGACAGTGCAACTAAGGATGGAACATCACTCTCTGGAAGTTGACGGTTCATCAGAGCTGGAGGACTTACTATTAGACCATCTTGAGGCTGCCACATCTCTGGGTTCTTTTTCTTTCTGTTCCTTTCTTTTTTGAAGAGGATGCAAAACCACTTCACATCCCGTGTTGTGGGCTGTGTAGTATTGCTTTCCACCACACATCTCTATTGATTACACAGAACACTTCCTTGCTTTTTGTTGTCTAGCTATGGTACATGTGTGTGTGGGGTGTGGTGTTGATTTTGGCCCTCTTGTTCTTTGCACTTGATGCTTCCTGTACTGTGATCAAACTTCTCTGCTTAAACTTTTCTAAGGTGGAGGCCTATCAGTGGGTAGACAATATTTTGATTGTGAATTGTGGCTTTAGCTTCAGTTGATAATATGTTTTTCAATGATAGATAATGAGAGCATTGCTCTAGGGTGAAGATTGTCCATATAATTTTCTAAAGGAAAAGAATATCACCAATTGAATTTTCCTTTGAAATACATAAAGGCCACATTACTGAAGTGCACAGTAATGACAGAATTAAAGAGATATTGAGATATAGGAACTTTCATGTATAATCTCTTGTAATTAATATACATTCATTTACCACTGATTTCACCTGGGTGATAAAAATCCTGTTATCTTGGGTTTTTGTCCAAGGTGCTATTTAGGTCACATTCACTGTCCATTTCATTACAATCGACAATGGCCTTTGTAGTTAGGTTGAACAAAAATCAACAGTAAGTTTTCATGGGACTTGTTTATACACCAGTAGGCAGCACAGTTGATTACTAGTGTTAGTTTTTATAGTGTTGCATTATCTTTATTCCAACAGGCATTCTTTAGAAATTGTAAGCCCAACAGATGAGCCATCTTCTCATGGTGGGAATGCAGGGCCAACTGGCTTGGGTGCTGGAGGCCCAGGCATTGTTGCAGGCAATGCTGAAGAGGCCCAAGAGGTACATGGGAATGGTGAGCAAGCCGGAGACACCTTAGGGTCCCCAAGAGTCAGATCAGGAACTGCTTCCTCTGCCCAGTTGGGCTTATCCTCATCAACACCTCAAGTATCTGTCACAACTTTGTAAGTTTCAAGTATTTGTTATCTCTGGTTTTATTAATTTTGTCTTCGTATGAGTTTCATAAATTTTGAGGTCAAATCTGAAAGCAGTAAACAGGTCTGTCACAGGCACTGTAGAAAGTTATCCAAGTTAATTTGCAACACATCAAAAAGAAACCTTTAGCAGAATTACAGATTTTTTGAGAAAGCAGAGTGTATGTGGAGGAAAATGACATTTTATATTTTCAAAAATATTCAATATTCTCATCACAGTTACGTGGCGCTTTACTCATACCGGGGACGCAAGGCAGATGAGTTGGAGCTAAGGAAAGGCTACATATACACAGTGACAGAAAAGTGCCAAGATGGATGGTATAAAGGTCGCTGTATAACAACAGATAGAGCAGGAGTCTTCCCTGGAAATTACGTCCAAGTTGCTAAGTATGATATCTGTCTGCTTTCGGTCTTGATATGTATGAATTTTATTGTTTGTTTAATTTCTGCTGGAAATTCACTTTCAGAAAAAGTTCTTACGTATAAACTGTTCTCTAGTAAAGGCAGGCTATTATTACAGATTTTTCTGACACATTAGCATTTCTTATACCACAGACCACAGACAATAGCTGCCTACCTGGCTAAGCGCAATGCCCGGGGGTCTTCCAGCCACAACCGCAACAACAGCACAGGGGGAGGCACCCTAGGCCCTAGTAACGGTGGAAGTGGAAGCAGCACCCTCCCTTCGGGTGTGGTTAGCTACACACGGCCTAGAGCAAGCCCAGGTGGTGGAGCAGACGGCAGGCATGCTGAAGGTTCCCGTGGTGAGAACACAAGTCTGCTGGACACCCCAGTTCACTCTATGGTACCCACTCTGTCCCCAACTCACACTTCGCCGCTTGCAGGGTCTCTCTCCCCAGCGGCTGGTGAGTCTTGATTAACATGTGATCCAAGCTAACAAGACCCCTGTCCGGTATCCTGTAGTCCTCGTCCCAGTGCCCAGTGGTCCCCTTTTGATTCGTACTTTTTGATATTCTTATCTCTTTTTCTCTATCTCTCTTCTTTTTTTAGTAGAAGGCAGCTTATTTATTTGGGATTTCTCTTTCCTGAAAACTAGGGTGAAAAGCATAAGTGTTTTAGTTTTGATTTGCCTTTGTTGATGATTTATGTTATTATTATTATAATCATTTGTAGTCACAGTAGCAGTAGTGATAGTAATGATGGTGATAGAGGTAATGGTAATAGTAACATCATTTGTAACCCTTTTTTACTATGCTCATTGCGTGTGGCGTATGTTTACTACCATTTACATCTCAAAACAATTCCGTAGTTAAGTGAATCATAACTTGAGTATTTTAACTCCCCCAAAATAATAATAGCATATAGTACTGGCAAACAGTTGTTAAAGTTAAGAGGTCTGTCTTTTGTAACTATGAGACTTTCATACATTATTGCAAGCTTATGGAAACAGATTGTAATATCTCAATACAAGGTATTTTTTCTTGTTCTCTCTTTGTTCTCTTTAAGGAAGACAGAATATCTTCAACAATATACACCTTTTTCTCTGGACGTACAGTCATTTTTCTTTCAAATTATGTCACAGTTGTAGGTTTTGTGAATGAAGTATTGTGCTTGTTGGTTTTATGGAAGTGACATCAATAATTTTAATAAAGTATGATTATGGGGATTATATGTATGAAGGTGACAAAGTTTGCTACAAAATTAATTAAATTATAATTATTGTATTTTGATGGTGAGAAAAAGAGATAAGGATTACTGTACTGAGAAATGAGAAAATATTTAGAAATTAAAGGATTACATTTTAATTATAATTGTTGTTATTATTATTATTAGTAGTAGTAGTAGTAGTATTGTTATTATTTTTTTTATTATTATTCTGTTCAAATTAACCCCATGCCGCCGGGTTTCATGTATTTATATGCCATGGCTGTTAGGGACAGAGTAGCAGATGGCTTATTATCACGACCATTCCCAAGCCCTGGACTCATCGGATGGAGCTTGTTTTTCTCTGATATTAGTGGCTTCATTTATATGGTAAAGCTTTTAGGCAATACAACCTAAAGTGAAGGTAAACGTTCACTGTAGATTGATGATATTATTAAAAATTAGGGCAAAATAAAAGCTTTTAGGTGCCGAATGTCATTCGCAAACTACCGAACACGCCGTGTGCAAACAGGGGAAACTGCTGATGCGCGCCAGCAGTCCCATGATTATTTCCATTTGCCAAACTTTTTTTACCTTGGGTGATTGGGTTAAGAAGATAAATATGCATTTTCTTAGCATGATTTCCAAATTGTCCCACTATCATTACCCCTATATAATGCAGCTGGAAGGGTGTCAAAATGAACAAAGAATTTTTTTAAATCCCACATATAACCCTTACAGACTGCATTCTGCTGCCCATCCTTTCCCCATCTACTAATAAACCTGAATTTTCAGCTTTTGTCTGTGTCAAATTTTGCTTTTATTATTCAAAGAGCTTATTTTTCATGCCAGCTGATACAAGGCACATGCTGGTTAGTCAAGTAGTTATTGAACAGGGTAGCATCAGATTTGAAAAGTAACCCATTGTATGCAAATGAAAATGGAAAAACTTACAAAATGTGCTGATGAAACTCATGAGGCAATGAAATACATAAATACCATAATTTATGTATATTTTATCCAATCTCAACAAAGGAAAATCTGCCAGCTCTCCCCAGACTCTGAAGTGCTCTGGTTTGCCAAATCTCTTTTGAGAATAAATAACAAATTGGTATAAAATGATAAGAATATTGTATATGAATTTGTATAATGACGAACATATGCAAGTCTAAATATTCAGTGTCTGCTGATAAGAATGAGAGAGACTTATCAAATGGGAGTCTGGGGATGAGATGGCACTTTGTTCTTTCCAGAAAATGGGCCCAGTGTAATACTAATTTTGTATTTATCATGTGTCTATGAAATGATGAAAGATAGCATGAAGCTGCATAAAGCTCATTCCAGAAGTCAGTAGTATGAGAGGGATGAGATCGTGGGATGAGATGAGAGGGATGAGATCGTGGGTACAGTCATCTCAGATAACATGGAGGAAGTGTAGAGGGAGAATGGGAGGGGAGGAGCAGCTGCATGGACTCACCAAAATTGGCTCATTGGTTATAAGTATAGGGGAGACATAGCAGTATGTAGCTTTGTGGCTGGAAGAAAGATCCCAAGCAATGTCAGACATGACAGACTGAAATTGAGTGAAAAAATGGACCACCACTTTTTAATTCTTTAAGGAGCTGGACATTTCATAGTCAGCCATTTATTTAAGAAATCAAGAGCATGGTAAACATGTTATTGTGGTCTACAATATCTGCTTTGGTATATGTGATCTTTAGATAAATAAGACAAAAAAAGAGACTAAGCTTATTTTGAAGGCTCACACTTCCCCAGCCTAGCTAGTGAACAATTGTTGAGTGCACACAACATAGGGCACAGAATGGTTACTTGCCACCCTGGGACCGGATTTACTAAACTCTCTCGTAAACGCTGTCTCTCGTAACAGTCACTAGAAGTATCAACGACTTCTTAACTAGTGACATTATGACCCATTTTCAAATGCCAAGCAACAACAGTGCAGGAGCTTGTAATCGGTATGACCATATTTTCTATCGCTAGGTATCATATGGCTTTTTTTCCTAAAAGAATGGCTCGATCAATAAATCAGCGTTAACTCAGAAAAAAATTCAACAAATCACAGAACATTAACCGCTGAATTGAGTGCCTCTCTCACTCTCTCTCTCTCTCTCTCTCTCTTTGTTGAATTTTTTTCTGAGTTAACGCTNGTCTTCAATTTCGTTCGTTTGGCTTTCATCTTCTTTCTCTTCATTTCGTTTTCGTTTTGCTCTCGTTTCTCTCTCTTCTTTTCCTTCCTGTCTTTCCAGCTTTATGATCTATTGTCCTCTTCCTTTATCGCTCTCTACTTCTGTTCGTTTACTATTTTCTGATTTTATTTACTGTGACTTTTTTCTCTTCGCGAAACAAATAAAACGTATATTGCAGTTACTCTAAAGCCTTCTCTTATTTACATTTCCATTTGTTTCCTCTGTCTTTTAACTTTATATTTCTCGGCTGCTTCCCTGCATTCTTGCTTGCGTACGCTAACAAACACACATACACACAAACTCTCTCTTTCTCTTTCTCTCTTCTCTCTCTCTCTCTCTCTCTCTCTTCTCTCTTCTCTCTCTCTCTCTCTCTCTCTCTCTCTCTCTCTCTCTCTCTCTCTTTCTCTCTCTCTCTCTCTCTCTCTCTCTCTCTCTCTCTCTCTCTCTCTCTCTCTCTCTCTCTCTCTCTCTCTCTCTCTCCTCTCTCTCTCTCTCATCTCTCTCTCTCTCTCTCTCTCTCTCTCTCTCTCTCTCTCTCTCTCTCTCTCTCTCTCTCTCTCTCTCTCTCTCTCTCTCTCTCTCTCTCCTCCTCTCTCTCTCTCTCTCTCTCTCTCTCACTCTCTCCACTCTCCCCCCCCCCTTCAAGCACACGCAACCCCCTCGCCCCGAGGCGCCCCCCCCCCCCGCCGCATCCCGATCCCCGCCGCACAGCTCGCAGGATGGAACCGACCTGCACGCGGCATCCGACCCGAACTCTTCCCCGAGTAAATATTTGCTTATTCCTCTTCCCTTTTTCCCTCCTCCCCTTCCCCTTTCCCCTTCCCCTTTTCCCTCCTCCCTTCCCTCCCACTCCCCCTTTCCTCCCTTTCCCCCCTTCTCCTTCCCTTCCCCAACTCCCACCCCTTCTCCCTTCTCCTTCCCTTCCCTTTTCCCTCCTCCCTTTCACCTTCCCCTTCCCCAACCCCTACCCTTCTCCCTCTCCTCCTCTTCTTTTCCCTCCTCCCTCCCCTTCCCTTCCTCACTCCCCACCCCTTCTCCCTCTCCCACCCCCTTCTCCTTCCCTTCCCCAACCCCCCTTTCTCTCTCTCCCTTTCCTTCCCCATTCCCCTTTCTTCCTTCCCTCTTCCTCCGTTTCCCTTTTTGCAGAATCTGGAAAAAGCCTGAAGCCACAGTTTTTCCGAGTCAAGGAATAATGTTCAAAGGCTGTCTCTATTTTTCTTTTTTTCTCTCTCTCTCTTTCCCTCTTTGTATCTACCTTTTTCTTCGTATTCCCTCTTTTTATTTATATATTTTCCTCCCTGTTCTCTCTCTCTGTGTCAGATGCATATCTCTCACTCTATCTCTCCGTGTCCATCTTCCTCTCATTATCTCCCTCTTCGTGTTCCCTTCTTTATCCCCCTCTCTTCCTCTCCCTCTTCGTGTTCCCTTCTTTATCCCCCTCTCTCCCTCTTCATATCCATTTTCTCTTCGTTATCTCCTTTTCCCTCTTCCTATTCATATCCATCTTCCCTTCCTCATCTCCCTCTCCGTCTTCGTATCCATCTTCCCTTCCTCATCTCCCTCTTCGTATCCGTCTTCCCCTCTTTATTTCCCTCTCCGTCTTCGTATCCATCTTCCCTTCCTCATCTCCCTCTTCGTATCCGTCTTCCCCTCTTTATCTCCCTCTCTCCCTCCCCCCCCCCCCCCCCCCCCCTGCACATTCGCACCTCTGATTTAGCTTCCCTGACAATGACACCTGTTAACAACATCTCAAACAGCGTAATGGAGATTAAAGATCGCTTCCTCTTCCCTCGAGGGATTTTCTGTCTCAAAACATCCCGTAATTAGAACAGCGGGAAAGAATTAAACTCGTGAGATTAAAGGCAGGCGCGTTTTTCGGCGACTTGGCTGTGTTGGCTCGTTTCACTCCGCCGCCTACAGAGGGCAGCACTTCTCTGATGGAGGTCCGAGCGCGGGGGAGAGAGAGAGACCGCCGGGTTACTATCTTTTCTCTCTTTTTCGCTCTCTCTTTTCTTGTTATTTCCCACCTTTTTGCTTTTTTTCCTTCTTTTTACATTTGCTGTGTCCACACTTTCCCCTTTCCTTTTTTTATGATTTTCATTTCCACCCTCGTCTCTGAATTTTTTTCCCTGAGGTCTTTCCATTTTTTTTTCTTTTCCCAACTTTTCTGCGGAGCGCCGAGGGGAGGGAGGCTACTATTAATACTCACCGTAGAAAAAGGGAGAAGTCTGCACGTGAACAGCAGAGTAAATAGAACATAATAAAAAATAAAGATAAAATACTCGCTAAAGGTCGCGAACCCAATATCTACAGGAGCCAACCAATAACTTTTGGGCCGTGGGTCTCTCCCTCTCTCTTATTCTCTCTTTCTCTATCTCTCTCTCTCATTCTCTCTTTCTCTCTCCTCGCACTCTGTTTATCTATTTATCTTCTCTCCCTCGCCCTCCCTACCCTTTATCTTCCTCCCTCCCGCTCTCTACCCTTTATTCCCCTTCCTTCCTATCTCTGTTCCCATCTCGCCCCTTCCATCTCCTTTCATTTCTCGCCCCTTCGACCCTTTCTCCTCCTCCCCTTCTCCCTCATCCCCCCCTCTTCTCACCCATTTTCTCCCCCTCTCTCCTCTCCCCTTTCGCGTT